CAGATGAAGAGATTAACAAAATTGCTAAGAAAGGGCTGGGGATTTAGCTCAGTGGTTCTGCTGCCTGCCTCGAAAGCAGAAGGACCCAAGTTCGATCCCTGGTACCAAAACAAAACAAAAAAATTGGTAGGGAAAGGCAAGACTGAGCCAGGCACAGTGACATAGGCCTATAACCCCAGCACTCTTATAACCACACTCGACTTGGAGTCTCAGTTTCACCAGATGAAAAAATTCTGGGGATTGGCCACACAACACTGTGAGAATATAATTAACACTACTGAGCTGTAGATAGTAAACTTCATGTCATGTTTAGGCTAGTTTTTCTTACACAATTAGGAAAAAACTCTACTTCTCTCTGCGCTCCTAGTAAGGAGTGTTTTTTTTGACGGTTTCAAGGGGATGGGGGGGGGGGGACAGACAGCGGAGGAGTCACACTAAGCTATTTGCAGGAAAAGAACTGGGAGAAACTGATGATGGGGAAGAGGAGAATGAAGGTGAACTGAAGGGAGGGCAAGAGGGGAATCTACTTTGGCTTGGATATGAGTGTGGTGTTGAGGCCAAAAAGATTTTTTTACTTAGGAGTTGAGAATGAGCAGCAAAGAAGGTTTCCTGATTCACAGTAAAAGAAATAAAGGAGGAGAATTTTAAGGGGATGCTCTGGGTTCTGATTTAGGTGCTCTTGGACCTTCTTCTAGTGGTGATAACAAATATTTGATTGTTTCTGTTTGCTGGGCTATTTCTTTGAAATTAACCATAGTGAAAGGACAAGAATATTAGATTAACCCTATGAAATTGCTGATATTTAATAGCTTTTGATCCAGAAAAATGTCAATTTCATATGGTTTAATTTACTAAAAACTGGTATTACATGGTATTACCATGTGACAGGACAGTGCCAAATGCTGTACATGTGTCAACGCATCTGATCCTCAGAGCAACCCTCAGAAGTAGCTACTGTCATCATACCCATTTTATAGCTGAGGAAGCTGAGGCATGGAAAAGTTAAGAAAAGTGTCCCAGCTAGCAGGCATGGTGGTGCACTCTGAGAGTGCACATCTCAGCACTCTGGCAGGCAGTGGTAGTGGGAAGTACTCTGGGTATACCGGGGATCGAACTCAGGATCTTGTGAGCCAGGTGGCAGCACCACTGAGCTAAATCCCTGGCTCCAGGATCTGAATGCACGGGGCTCCAGCACCAATGTTCTGAACCACACAGGGCTTTGGGTTTTACGTGCAAAGTCCTGAGCTGAATGTCACAAGAAACAATCTCTATGAGATTCAGCTACCATTAAAAGAAGTAAAGAAGGCTAGGCGTGGTCAGGGATTTAGCTCAGTGGCACCGACTTAGCCCTAGAAGTCACACGCATCATTCCTATAATAACTGATCGTCCCTATCCACTATGGGATGCATTTATATGAGAGGAAGAATCATTAGACACCATCTTAGAGGTTGGCTATCACACTGAGTTACTAAAATTTATCACAATTTAATCACTAGAGTGTGGTGATCCACAAAGATGTGTTTTCTTTACTATTATATCCTAGAACCAAAAACAGGGAAAGCATATAATAAAGTAGAGACTCAATGAATAGTTTACAAATGAATGAGAGACCACAAAGAAGAGGTGGCACTTTGAGGGTTGGATGGAAGCATAAAATTGATTGAAGTTTTTAAAGGTTTCTTGTTTTTTAATCAAGACCAACTCATTCCTTTCATACAAGTATTAGGCAGAGAGTAAACATTCCCCTATAATCCTACCCTACAAATCAAGGAAACCAAGATAAAAACACATGAAAATGGAGACAAACTCAGTACCATGAAGCAATGAGACTGTGATCGACAGACCTGGAGCACAGGGCCTGGCTCAGAGCAGATACTCCGTTCCTGCAGTCCAGTGCTAGTTTTACAGCTCAAAGTGTCTACGTGAGGTTGTATTTTCTGATGGCCATCCTTAAATATGTGTCTCATCCAACATACTCTTCTAAAAATGTTACTGAACTCACAGAGAGAGATGGGGGTATGTTCTTTTTAAAAATCGAGTGGGAGCTTGTGATCTCCTCAGCCCACTTAGCTCAGCAGAAGTGATGCCATGTGACTTCCAAGATGTCATCAAAAGGAGGCCACCTTAGCCAACCTCTGCCTCTCTCTGTGCTCGGCTCGCCCTGAGAACCAGGCCCCATGTCTCCAGGAAGCACAGGCCACAGGGAGTCCATGTGGGAACATTCTTGGTGTGGGTGAGCACACACTGCCAGGCCTGAGAGCCAGTGGGAGCTCTGGACTCCAGCCCCAGACGCTGCATCTTTCATCTGAAGTCCCAGGCCCCAATCCCTATTATGCCCTGTCTCAATTTCTAGCCCACGGAAACCATGAGAGATAACAAATAATTATAATCATTTTAAACCACCAGGTTTTGGGGTCATCTATTATGCAGCAATAGCTAGTAATAAAATACCCTTCTAGAATTTTCTCTAGCTTCAAGGGGAATTTGTAAAAGACATTTATTTATGTATTCGCTCATTTATTCACCCAAATGTGCTACCCAAAATGGGTATTTGGGTTTCTCTACAATCCCATGGACTAAGCTAGACATTCTGGGCATGGGGACAGGGTGTTTGCCCAAAGCAAGGATGTATTAGAGGGCATAAAACATCTGTACTTGTAAGAGCTGCAGCGTCCCACTGTATGAAGTCACAATTCTTCTAAGTTGCCAACTGTAGTTCGAGACAAGAGGCTGGAGAATGTGTATGGTAACATGTGTGGCATGGAAGGAACACAAGAGGATAGGAGATTCAGGCCAGAGGACATGTCCTTGTGGTTGAAGTGGGCTGCGAGGAGGGCAGAAGGAATCGAGGTTGATCACAACTGGCCATGAATTCCATGCTGTGCTACATTTCACTTAATACAACAGCCTCGTGAGGACAGTATTGCTCAATTGTCACCCAATTCTCTTGTTCCAGATAAGAAAACTGGGACCTGAAAAAATCATTTGCTTGAGTTACTCCTTCAAGAACCAAGAGGCTAGGGCCAGGGATTTAGCTCAGTGGTTCACAAGGTCCCAAGTTCGATCCTCGGTACAAAAAAAAAAAAAAAAAAAGAACCAGAAGGTAAGACGGAACCCAACCCTATGCCTTTTTTTTTTTGGTATCAGGGATCAAACTCTGTTCCTTGCACTTTCAAGGCAGGCAGCGGAACCACTGAACTAAATCCCTGGCCCCTGCCTATGCCTTTCTGCTGGGTCCCTGAGCAGTGTGACTCCAGTGGCTCCAGGCTTAACAGGAAGCATGCACAGGTTCCCCAAAGTAGTGACTCCGGAGAAACTGGCTCAATTTAAACCACATGAGTCACTCCTAAGACGCTCTGTATGCAGCTGCTGCAGACCAGGCCTGTGTTATCTGACATGTCTGAAGATCTGTGACCCTCATGCTAAGATGAGATTTCTAATCCACTTTAAATAGAGATAAACAAAAACTACAGCAATTCTAAGGCCAAAGAACAAGTTCCTAAAATATGAAAGTGTAAGCTCCACCATCCCTGGGCTCCTCAGGAATGACATGAAGCAGATGAAGGCCACCCCTATTGAGGTGGTCTGCATGGGAGCTAGGCCCAAGGGCCAGTGAGCCTGGAGGCATCCACAGTAGGCAGTTAAGAAACCCGCCCAGCTGATTCACAGCCCTGTCAGCAGGGACATCACTTGTTGACACATAAGGAGTCCAAAGTCTGCTTGTCGTAGCAATTTGTAGGCAATGTAAGTTAGGGTTAAAAGCAGAGCTTTGGGATTTGAAAAGATTTACCTGTCTTGAAGTCTTATGGAAGCTACTTATGCCCTTGGCCAAGTTAATTTCTGTCTCAGCCTCAGTTTTCCCACCTACAAAAGAGTAATAGTAAACTGGGCCGGGGATTTAGCTCAGTGGTTCTGGCACCTGCCTTACAAGCGCAAGGTCCTGAGTTGGATCCCCAGTAACAAAAAAAAACCCAAACAAAGAGTAATAGTAAACTTACCTCATTGGAGTTAGTAAAGATTAAATGAAATAATGTAAGTTAAATACCTGACTTTGGGTATACGCACCATACACTTTGTGTAACAGTGTAAGCATATAGAAGAATATTCAAAATGTACACTTTTTAAAAAAATTTTTGAGACAGGATTTCATTATGTAGTTCAGCCTGGCCTCGAACTCACTGTGTAGCCCAGGGTGGTTTTGAACTCATGCCAAGCCTCCTGCCTCAGCCTCCCGAGTGCTGGGATTACAGGTGTGTGCCCTCAGGCCCGGTTAAATGTACACTATTAGAAATGGTTATTTTTAGGTTTTGTGAAACAGGGTCCTGCTCTGTTATTCGGGGTGGTCTTGCACTCTGTAGCCCAAGTTGGCCTCAAACTCGCAGCAATCTTCCTGCCTCAGCCTCCGGAGTCGGAGTGCTGGGATTACAGGCATGCACAACCACCTCAAGCTGCAACGTTTGATCTTAAAACTTCAAACCCCAGTTATATTTAAAGCAAGAAAGCTGCAATACCCATTTCAATAAATGGCATCCGAACAAACTACAATCACAGGCCGACCGCGGGAGGCTCTCGAAGTGAATTCCACATACACTCTCCCTCCTCACCACACTGCCACCGGGCCCAGCTCTGTCTTGGGAGCTACCTGGCCCCTCCAAGTCACCTTCCCCCTGGGCAAAGCCAAGCTCTGACGCCCGCCTCCCGCACGCGAGTTTCTCATGGCTCTTCCCAGCCGGCTCGCTCCTCCGCTGAGCTGGGAGAGAGCGCGGGGACCGGAGGTCCGAGGCCGGTAGAGCCCATCCAGGCCCGGCCCCCAAACCCGGCCCCGGGCCCCCAAGCCCCAGGCTCCCCGGCCCGCTGAGTCAGCCGCAGCCGCCCGCTCCGCGTGACCGCGGCCACGTGACCGCGCTGGGCGGGGCCGCCTCAGTCCTCGCTGACGCGCCGCGGGAGACTACCTAGTAAGTGGGGAGCTGGGTAGGCGGGACCCTCCCAGCGAGTGGGGGTCCGGGTCGCTGCCCGGGTCCTCGGGGGCTGGGATCCCGGCGAGCTGCTCTCACCCCTTCCCCTGCGGGGCGGGAGAGGTGAAGTGATCGTGACGGGGTGGGGGAAACACGACCGCACCGACGGCCCCGCGGGCCACCTCTACCTCGGGCTTCCGCCCTCAGTGACCTTAGTGCTGGGGTGGGGGTTGGCGAACGCCCTCCTTCTGGAACGATTACTTTAGTCCCTCGTGCTTTGCGGGAACCTGAAGACCCAGCAGGGTTCGCCAAGTAAGGCTGGCGGTGGGAGCACCCCTCGCCCAGAACTGAAGAACACACGTCCCCAGGCGCCCTCGCCTCCATCTGCTGTACTGGCCCGAGGACCCCATGAGCCTCCTGCGATTGAGGGAGAATCTACAATTCTCTAGAATTGAGGGGTGGAGATCCGTCCTGTATGGGACTGGGGGTGTAGAGAGCGGGACTGAGTCGTGCGCTACAAGATCATAGTCAACATATTGAATATTACGGTGTTTACTCCCTTCTCTCATTTACTACGGTATTCCCATGACATTGGGGAGGTAGGTACTACTCTCCACATTTTTGTGTAGTGGGAAACGGGCCCAGAGGCTGCTTTATGAGGTTTGGTCGTTGGTTTAAAAAAATGGGGGAGTTGGGATTAGAACCCAGCTCCACCTCACAGTTGCGCCTCCTGGTGGGTGGTGTCTTTTGGCCCAGCCTATTGGTGGGAACTTAAAAGTCAGGGCCTTTTTCTTGCTTAATTTGGAAAGGAGGTCGGGTGCAGGTTTAGAGGGGCTTCTTCCTCGCCCCCAGCCTTCTCTGTTTCTTTTCTCCGCAGGCTCCTTAGCGTTATATTTACTTTGTCTTCTCATCTCCCCACCACAGAACAAGATGAAACTCATCATCCTGGACCACTACTCGCAGGCCAGCGAGTGGGCCGCCAAGTACATCAGGAACCGAATCATCCAGTTTAACCCAGGCCCAGACAAGTACTTCACCCTGGGGCTCCCCACCGGTGCGTTGTGGGACAGTGATGGGGTGGGGAGAGTGGATATCGGGCTTTTAAGGGGCCACAGGGGTTTAGAGAAGGGTTTGAGGTACTGCTGTTGTGAGAACACCAGACCCCCTGCCTGTACAAAACAGTACTTGGTTTCCTGTATGGGTTGCTGCTATTGGGCCTATTGACCCCTCCTGTTCCAGGAGGGATCTTTCTTAGTCAGGAAGAACTTGATTTTTAGGTTACATCCTAAGTCAATCCTGTCATCCAGGGTTTCTTAGCAGAATTAAGTCCTGATGCCCTAAGGCATTCATTTTATGAAATGAATTAATTTCTCTTTTGTGCATGTAGCAGGTACCAGCTAAGTACCATCCTTAAGAGAATTGACAAGATAGTCTGTCAGATAATTTTTCAGAAGACAATTGAGCAGAGAGCTTAAGTGAAAAGCAGTCCCAGTTCCTTCTGGAAAAGGCCAGAATGTTAGCTTTAACAGGAAGGTATTTTGACCCCAGTTCCTCAAGGCGAATGTTCTAATTATTTCTTTTACAGTGAGGGATTTGCGCTAAGGTCTTACTGGGCCCATCCACTAAAACAGTAGCATTGAAACTTTTTCTGTAATGGACCAAACAGTAAATATTTTACTCTTCATGGTTGTAGCTGCTCAATTCTGCCAGTAGAGTGTGAAACACCCACAGACAATACATGAATGAATTAATGTGGCTGTGTGCCAATAAAACTTTATTTATGGACACTTAACTTTGAATTTGTATACAGTTGACCCTTGACTTATGAAATCAATTTGTTCACGAGGACCGGTTGTAACTCAGGTTGGGCAATGAAGGCTCAGGCTCCTCTACACAGCCTTCAAAGTCTCCTGTGTACAGGCAGATCTCAGTGCCCTTAGATATTGGCCCAGGATTTCTCAGTTAACCCCTCACAGAAAAGGATGTTGTAATTTTCCTTCTAGAACTCTTTAAGGGCTAAATCTGTATCTGAGATCATCTAGAAGCACAGGGGGCCGGCTTTTGGGTTGTAACTCAAGACTTTGGTCATAAGTTAAAACGAAAATTCTGGTCATAACCCAAGATGTTCTTATGTTAGGCCGATCATAACTCCAGGTTCTACTGTAATTTTCTGTCATAAAATATTCTTTTGATTTAAAAAAAAAAACTAACAATGTAAAAACCCTTTTTAATCACCTGCCCTGTAAGCGCAAGGTCCTGAGTTTGTTCCCCGGTACCAAAAAACAAACAAAAAAACCCTTTTTAACTTATGAGCTTAACTCAGAATGAAACAGGCAGTAGGTATGATTGGGCCTTTGGGGTGGTGTTTGCTGAGCTCTGTCCAAGAGGCATAAGCCTCTTGGGAGTCAAATCATCCTGCACCTGTGAAACCGCCCATGTCTCAGTTCAATAGGGACTGAGTTAACATCCTGTCTCCTAACGGAAGGGAGGGAGTCACTCCCTGCTGCACCTCCTCCCTGGTTCCCATTATCACAGAATCAGATCCAAGCTCCTCAGAGTGGAATTCCAGGCCTTCAAAATGCAGCCCCTCCCTGCCTATCATGCTTGAACCAGTGCAGCATTTTCATCCGGGTTCCTTGGAGCATTCCTTCCATTAGATGCAGCACTGGTCAGCGTTCTGGATAGAAGGCATAGAAACCAACTCTAGCTAAAAGGAGCAGTAAAAGAGTATTGGCTGTATGTTGGGGAGTTCAGAGAATTGGTGGGAAGGCTGGAGGTTTGGAAAATGGTGAAGGCCTGGCCTCAGGGACCAGCTGAGTAGTGAGTGGGGTGAGTGGTGCTGCCACCATCATTCATTCAGTAGATTCTCACTGAGTGCCCTCAGTAAGCTAAAGAACTCTAGGGATACAGCAACAAACAAAAGGTTTTAAGTTCCCACCTCGCAAAGCTCAAATTATAGTGGGAGAGACAGAAAATAAACAAAGTTAATTAGCAAAACATAGAGTATGTTAGGTGGCATTAAGAAGGAAAGAGAAAAATGAAGCAGCAAAGAAGGATAGGAAGTATTTAGACGGGGCTTTGCAGTGTCAGATACCGTGTCAGGGAAGGTCTCTCTGAGAAAGTGACATTTGGGGAAAGGCCTGAAGAGGTGAGTTACCACGCAGGTACAAGAAGGAAGAGCATTTCTGGGCAAGAACACCATGTGAAAAGGCCCTGAGGTGAAACGCCCAGTGTAGAATGAGGAGCACAGAGAGGGAGCCAGGGGCTGAGTTATATGGCATCTTTGTAAGGACTGGTTATTACTGAGAGTGGAGTGAGGGGCTGTTGTGGGCTTTGAAAAGATGAATGATAACATGGTCTGATTTGGATTTTTTTCCTTCCATCTTTTTACTTTGAAAAGTTTCAAATATTCTGGTAAGTTCAAATTAACAATGTAGTTTTCATTCATCAAGATGCACCATTTGTTACCATTTGCTTTTATTTTTCTCTGGCTCATGGTCTACACACATGCGCGCACACATACACACACAATTCTTTTTTTCTATACATTCCAGACATCCTGACACCTTACCTCTAAAACTTTCAACTTCTATCCTCTTAAGAATGAGAACATTCTCTCCCATAACCCCCACACTGTTATCAGACTTGAGAACTGGTCTACTATATTCCATCTAATATATAAGCTATGTTCAAAAATTTTTCCTTATTGTGCGTATTTATCTTTTATGGGTAGCTGTTATTAAATTAATCTAGTGTCCATTCGGGGCTCTTGCATCTTTAGTTTCTGATTATTTTATTAAATGCAGGGGATTGAACCCCGTGCATGTGAGGCAAGTCTTCTACCACCGCGCCATCCCCCAGCCCCCCTCCTCCAGCCTTTTAATCCACGGTGGGCCTCCTGCCTTTTGTTATGTGCATTTTCTGAATCTCCTCTCAGGGGGAAGTCCTCCCTGAACCCCAGAGCACCACTGATACCCCTGTTCTCTGTCCCCCGTCCTAGACAGTGGCCTCTCCTCAGACGGCTCTCTCTCGTCTCCATCCCCATCCTCGGCCCCTTGCCTCCCACATAGTAGTTGCTGGGAGATGATCACATCAGTAATCATCAGATGCTCAAGTCAGGTACAGATAGAGTGATTTCAGTCACCAGGATGCTGGGGACTGGGGATCAGCAGACAGACAGACCCAGCCCTGCCCTTCTGGAGCCTGCATTCTAGTGGGAAATGGGCACTGAACAAGGAGGTGGTGTGCAGATGGCAGTAGGGCCAGAGTGTTCATTGGCTAGGACACTCTGATTTGTTTCTCTCAGATCTGATAGATTCTCTCTGGGGAACAGCCCCCTTAGGAGCTGGGTCTGGGAGTGTTCACGGGTATGGCAGCATTCATGGCTGAGGCCTCTCTTGCAGGGAGCACCCCACTTGGCTCCTATAAGAAGCTGATTGAGTACTACAAGAATGGGGACCTGTCCTTTAAATATGTGAAGACCTTCAACATGGATGAGTATGTGGGTGAGTCTTCGTCTTTCAGGGTTCTTGTCTGATTCCAGGAGCATCATGCCTCTCCTCTCGCAGGCGTGGCTCTGATAAATGATGGGGGATGTCAGGGAGCCCTATTTAGTGATAGATTCCTTACCTATCTCTTCTAGCCTTTGTTTACTCAGCTAGAACATGGGGCTAGTAAAGCTGACCTGTGCTGGGTATGGTGGTACAGGGCTATAATCTTAGCACCCTCCAGAGGCAGAGGCAGGAGGATTGCAAATTCAAGTCCAGCTCAGAAGTTTAGCAATTTAGTGAGACTCTGTCTCAAAACTTTTAAAATATCTACATCTGGGCTGGGGATTTAGCTCAGTGGTTCCGCCGCCTGCCTTGAAAGCTCAAGGTCCCAGAGTTTGATCCCTGGTACCAAAAAAAAACAAACAAAAAAACTACATCCCCATGAGGGGATGTAGCTCGGTGCAGATGCCCTGGGTTCAGTCCCCAGTATGGAAAAGGAAAAAAAAAGCTGACCTTAGGGGTCATGGGCTGTGATCATTAAATAATACCGTGGTAAATGTGGAAGCTTCTGGTATGCAGTAAAACATGAGTGAGCACTTAATAATTAGGGTGCCTCTTTCCCCGCTGCCCATTCCCCAGCTCCATACCATCTCTTTATGGGATGAATGCTCACGCATGCATCCTGGCTGGCATGTGTCCCTGGGGCCTGTGTCTCCAGTGTGCTTCCTCCAGCTCCCTTTTCTGCTAGAGACACTTGGAGAGGGCTGAGATGGTGGCTTTTCTGCTACTGACCATGTCTTCTCTCACACCCCATCCCATCATTTATAAAGGCTTCACTTTAAACATTCTTTTTTAAAAAAATTATTGAAAAAGAATTACTGTACAGAAACAAAATTTACCATCTTCAAAAAATGGTGTGGTTTGCAACCCTGTGGTCCCAGCTACTCAGGAGGCTAAGATAGGAGGACCTCTTAGGCCAGGAGATCAAGGCCAGCCTGAGCAACATACCCCAGGACCTTATCTCCAAAAAAAAAAAATTGTCATCTTAGATTTCTTTTTTTCTTTTTGTATTTTTAAGACAGGGTCTCACTTTGTAATGCAGGCTGGCCTTGATCTTGGGGCGATCCTCCTGCCTTAGCCTCCCGAGTGCTAGGATTATAAGCTTGCACCACTATGCCCAGTTTAAGCCCTTTTATATATACAGTTGAGTAGTGTTAAGTACAGTCACATTATTGCACAACCAGACTCCAGAATTCATCTTGCAAATGTGAGACTATAACTATTACACAACAGCTCTCCATTTCCTCCTCTCCCCAGGCTTTGGAAACCACCATTTTACTTTCTGTTTCCATGAATTTGATTTCTCTTAAGTACCTCACATAAGTACATGTTTTCAAGGTGAATCTGTGTTGTAGTATGTGTTAGCATTTTTTCCTTTTTAAGGCTGATTTTATATAATTTTTTGTTCTTATTTTTGTGGAACTGGGGATCAAGCCAGGGACTCACACCCTCTAGACACGCACTGTACCACTAGCTACATCCTCAGCCCTGATCTTAAATATTCTTAATGATTAACATTAAACATTCACCTTAGACATTCATTTTTTCTGGCTGAAAAAACAAAGTGTATTTTGAGGAGCCCTGAGATAACTTTCTCCAATCACCTGGTGTTTAAATTGGGGTTTAGACTGAGCAAGGGTTTAATTGGGGTGAATGGGGGTGGGAGGCACAGGGTGAAGAGTGTGCTTGCTTCCTTTCCTAGATGGGCCCAGTGCTACTCCAGGTGGCCAGGCCACCTCTAGAAGCCAAGAGTGCCCCAACCTCAGCCTGTGGTCATCTCCTTGTGAAAAGGAGATCAGAAGGAGGGCGTTTTCCGGTCCTGTGGTCCCAGGGGATGGCACTGATTGAGTGGACACTGAGACACCAGCTCGGCTGTCCTTAGTGTTTGGGGTCAGAGGGCTGGTGCCCAAGGCTCCATGATGGGCAGTCCTGAATGTCCCTGTTTGTTATGGTAGTGTCTCCACCTTGGGAGAAGGGCTCTGGCATAACTGAGTGTCCCCTGGCCCCACAGGCCTTCCTCGAGACCACCCGGAGAGTTACCACTCCTTCATGTGGAACAACTTCTTCAAACACATTGACATCCACCCAGAAAATACCCACATTCTGGATGGGAATGCAGCTGACCTGCAGGCTGAGTGCAATGCCTTTGAGGAGAAGATCAAGGCTGCCGGTGGGATCGAGCTGTTTGTTGGAGGTGAGTGTGGTATATGTGCAGGGCCAGGCCCAGTGGGCTTGGAATCAGTAGAAAGAGAAACCAGAAGCCATGCCTGTCTCCACGTAGCCCGCTTTGTCTGTGCTAATGACACTGGGGTCATCCATCACGTCAAGAGTGGGAGCCCCTACTGCTCAAGAACTGTAGTCTTGGACACTCCCTCTTTCTGCACTTCAATGCCTGGTCTGTACATTGAGGGGTTTCGATTTGTACTCTGAGATCCTCTACTCCGAGGTCTTAAAGCTTTGTAGATTAGTCCATAACTTACCTAAACATTTAAGATTATGAAAAACAAAACAAAACCGTTTAAGATTATGGACTCCTCTAGTTCCAGAAGGTTCCCTACAGCTCTTGCGTGCTGTTGATAACCAGTAGAACCCCAGAGAAGTCATATGACTCATCAAGGAGTAGTGGGAAGAAGGCAGAAACCTGGGGTGTCTACCTCTCAGATTTGGGCTCTTGTCTGTCTGTTGCCTCCCTAGGAGTCATGTACAGGGGTGTGAGATTGGACTGCCTTTTACTGCTCTAGATCTTACACCTAGAAGTGGGGAGGAGGGGGCAGGAGCTTGATATGCTAAGAGTTCCTAAACTTGGCAGCCCCTACTGAGGTGCTGTGTTGCAATTCTGTCCCAGCAGCAGGACCCCATCTACCGGCAAGAGAGACAGACAAGTTACACTGCCCAGTAATCTGTGGAGGCAGAAGCTTCATAGATTGCTTCTTGCTGAGCTCTTTGAATGTGGGAACAAGTTACAATGTGTGTATGTACCTTGGGTGCTTAAGACTTCCCCACCATGGATCCTATGTGAAAAGAAATACATTTTCAAAGGCTGTTTTTTCAGACTCCAGTTAGGGAAGGAGAGACTGTCCATTCTTGACATTTGGGATCCCCAGGAACTTACTGGGCTGCTGTGGCTGTCTCTGCAGGCATCGGCCCTGATGGACACATTGCCTTCAATGAGCCAGGCTCCAGTCTGGTGTCCAGGACCCGAGTGAAAACGCTGGCCATGGACACCATCCTGGCCAATGCTAGGTTTTTTGACGGTGATCTTGCCAAGGTTCCCACCATGGCCCTGACGGTGGGTGTGGGCACTGTCATGGACGCTAGAGAGGTAAGGGTACAAGGGCTCCACCAGCTTTGTGGAGGGCTCATATTTTTGTTAATTTTAGCTGTATAGGTACTACCTGAACACAAGGTGTGATTGAAATATACAGTGAGTAATTTTTAAAAAATTAATAATAGTAGCCAGGGATTTAGCTCAGTGGTGCCACTGCTGGCCTCGAAAGCGCAAGGTCCTGAGTTCGATCCCCAGTACCAAGAAAAAAAATTAATAAGAAAAAATAATAATAATAGAAAATAAAATAATAATAATAGAAAAAAGTTAATAATAATACATTGCTGTTAGTTTCCCTCAAAATACTTCCCCTTGCTTGGAGCACGCTTATCCCATAGTTCTTGCCATTCTCTGAGCCAGCTCTGGAAGTCCTCTTCCGTCAGTATCTTTAATTGCTCTCTTGTGGCTGCCTTGATGTCCCGAATCGATTCAAAACATTTACCCTTCATGATTGTTTTGACTTTTGGGGGAGAGCCAGAAGTCGCATGGTGCCAGATCCAGTGAGTAAGGTGGATGAGAACACACCATACTGTTTTTCCCAGTGCAGCTTTTCTTTGGATGGCACTTGGTAGTGGCATTCACTGTATTATCTCACCTTGTACATGCCTTGCTCTGGTTTTTTGCTTCATGTTTTGCAGGACTGGGGATCACACTCAGGGTCTTGGGAGTTGTGGGCAAGCACTCTACTACTAAACTACACCACCCACCCTCTGAATACATTCTTGTTAAAGATGAAAACACTACAAATAAGGGTAAAATTCCAGCTGGTCCTAACACTATTCCTCTTCTTTTTTGGAGGTCACCATTGTACCCAGTGTGAGGTGAATCCTTTGAGCATATTTTCTGTCCTTTGCTGATTGACCAGTGCAGGCTCCCTGGCCTCTGCTAGTGTTCCCTTTATATGCATCTCTTGGGCACAGAACAGCCCCAGGCCACAAATGTGGCCGAGGACCCCCTTGGTCATCGTTTGAAGGAACGTGCCTCCTGCACCCAGGGATGCTGTGGTTATAGCCTTGTGCTCAGGGCTAATAAATGTGGTGAGGCATAATTAGAATATAAGTATGTAGTTGAATGTGGTGGGGCATCTCTGTAAGCCCGGCACTCTGGGAGACTGAGCCAGGAGGCTCACAAGTTCGAGGCCAGCCTGGGCAACTTAGTGAGACCCTATCTCAAAATAAAAAATAAAGGGCTTGGGTGGGGGGAAAGGGGAGTAAAAATGACACAGGCACAATATGTTTATATACTAGTTGCCCAAGATGAATTTAGCTCAGTGGTTCTGCCGCTTGCCCCGTAAACACAAGGACCCAAGTTCAATCCCCGGTACCCAAAAAAAAGAAACATACATTCACAAATTTTTTTTTTTTCAGACCAGGTCTCACTATGTAGTTCCCAAGTGCTGGGATCACAGGTGTGTGCCACCACGCCCAGATGAAAAAATTTTTTAAAAAGCACAACCAAATAGTTATTGAGAAGTTTCTTGACAGACTCCAAAACATCATGTTCAGAGAGCCCTGCCTTCTGCATTTTGTAAACCCAACACTCCACAGGGTGAGGCAGGAAGATTGTCATGAGTTTGAGGTCAGCCTGGGCTACATAGTGAGTTCAAGGCCAGGCTGACCTACATAGTGAGGTCCTGTTTCCAAAAAAAAAAAAATTGCTAACCTGAGGTACTTTTTTTTTTGGTACCGGGGATTGAACTCGGGTCCTTGCGCTTGCTTGCAGCAGGTGGCAAAACCACTGAGCTAAATCCCTGGCTCCCTCAGGTACTTTTTTTGGGGGGGACCAGGGATCGAACTTGGGACTTCGTGCTTGTTAGGCAGGCGGCAGAACCACTGAGCTAAATCCCCGGCCCTCAGGTACTTTTTTTAAAGGGCTGGAGAGGTACAAAAACCCTGGGTTCAATCTCCAGTACTGAAGACAAAGAGCATCTTGAACTGAATTTAAGGAGTTTCCCCCTAGAATTGGGTGCCATTTAGATTAGATTTTTTTTTTTGGTGATTCCAATGTCCTTACTGCTTTCACTAGCATTTAGAAGTATTTACTCTTCTTTTCTGAGGTATAGTGAATGGGAAGTAGCTATAGACATCTTAGCTTCCAGTTTCTTTGCCCAAATCTACAAACAAGCATCTAAATCAGGGAAAAGTTCCCTATTTATGAAGTGAACTTTTGGGCTGGGGATATAGCTCAGTGGTACAGCACTTGCTTGGCATGTGTGAGGCCTTGGGCTCAATCCCCAGCACCACAAAAAATTTTTATTCAAAAGATAAATTTTTGACCAGGGTTTGGGGGCCATCCTTGTTCATTGAGGGCATCTGATCTGGAAAAGGACCTGGGGCTGGAAATCAGGAAACTTTTCTAGAATGGGCTCCAAACTGCTGAGGAGTACTGAAATCACAGTCACTCTTTCTGTGCCTCTGTGTGCTCACCTTTTAAGAAAGCAACACTGAGTACAAATAATGCCATAGTACAAGTGAATTAAAAGGAAATCTATGAAACTGAAGTCTTTAGGACCACTTTCCAGCACTTATGTCCTTGATATTTTAACTGTTAAGTGGCATCTATGCCTTTGTTTTATGTAAACAAAAAGCATTACCCAAATCACATTAGCAGGTTTAATGCTCTGAACTGAAAGGGACCAGATTAAAGGGTAGCCTGTCTGGGATTCAGCCTCAGGAGCCTCACAGAGATAACTCTCACCATTGCTTCCAAAGTGGAGGTCCCTTCAAAGATTGTGAGCTCACCTAGCTATGCCCTGAGGGATGTGGCCCATCTGTTCATAAGGCACGCCCACAGTCCTCATCAAAGTTGCCTGGAGGGACTATTATTACACAGTACTGAAGAGCACATGCTCTGGGGTCAGAAATGACCATGGGAAAGTTACTTATCTACTGGAGCTGCATTCCCTATTCCTAAAATAAGAGGGGAAGCAGTGCCCTCCGGCACTGAGCAGAACATGTTGCACAGTTACTACTTTCAATGTGACATTACAGGAGTGAGCCTTACCACTGGCTTGGAACTCAGGTGTCTGGGCCTCCCAGTCACAGGCTTGTTTTCTGGTCCCCAGGTGATGATCCTTATCACAGGTGCTCATAAGGCATTTGCTCTGTACAAGGCCATCGAGGAGGGGGTGAACCACATGTGGACGGTGTCTGCCTTCCAGCAGCATCCCTGCACTGTGTTTGTGTGTGATGAGGATGCCACCCTGGAGCTGAAAGTGAAGACCGTCAAGTATTTCAAAGGTGAGGGGTGGGCATGGGAATATGAGGTCAGGCTCGGGTGTGTGGGAGTAAGGAGGGGCGCTAGCTTTCATTGTAGGTGTTTCAGTCAACACCCATGGCTTTAATAAAAATCAACCCCTACTGCCTCACTATATGGTCATTTCTCTTTCATCCATGATTGCAGGGGTCCATTTCTGGGGGTGTTTGCTCTGAGGAGGAGGCCAGAAAATGCAGAGTTGTAGTCCAAGGCTGTGTGGTGGTCTCCTTCCAGTGACAGTGAGCCTGGGGTTTTCTGTGTCCACCAATATCTCTGCCCTCAGTTCTTTCCCCTCTAGCCGAGGGCCTGAACAAGCTGTCAGGGGATTTTTATTTCTTTCATTTAGGAGGACATCTGCTGGAGGCCTGGGGGGTGTTTCAGGGGCAGAGTGCTTGCCTAGCATGTGTGAAACCCTGGGTTCCATCCCCAGCACCACCACCAAAAAAAAAGATACCTACTACTTTTACCAAACTTACATGAAAATCCTCATTGTTTAAGCATGTAAATTAGTAATCTATTCTTAGAAAGACTGACCCTTTAATAGCCAGCTCCTGTAGTAGATGGGTTGACAGCAGCTTGGGAATTCTGCACTCATTGGGAATGACAAATTCTTTCCCCGTTCTTAGTGTTTCTCACTTGGAGATCACACAGAAAAGAGGTAAATGTCAGTTCTAGGACAAGATTTGAGAGGTTCTGGATGTTACTATTAAATGATGCACTCTTTGCCTCTATCTGCATTAACTGTTTCTTTGTTTTTAATTTTTTATAGGTTTGATGCTTGTCCATAACAAGTTGGTGGACCCCCTATACAGTATGAAAGAAATTGAGAAAAGCCAGTCTTCTAAGAAACCATACAGTGATTAGTCTGTGCTGGGACTTAGTATTGGGTACCTCGCAGAAACAGGCAGGCCTTTCTGGAAGTTGTCTTTATTGGACAAGAATTGTCTTTCTTTAATCCAGTATGGTTACTGCAGATAAGTGGGTTTTCCCAGTTGTGAGACAGGAAGCCTAGTCATGCAGTTAAGCTAGTGGGAGAATGACTTACAATTTAATCAGAAAAAAATCTCTGAAAAGTGTACTCCATTATTTTGATGTCTGCCACACCCAAGTTAGGGCTCTTAGCTTTTGTCTGTCTCAGCCACTGTTCACATGTACAACACACTCCCATCAGGAATTTCCACCCTTAGGTGCACTTACTCTCAAGTGGTTGGGAAGTAGGGGCTTGTATATTTTAGATACAGCACTACTGGAGAGTCTTGAGAGTTCCCCTTGAGCAGGCCTCCCCTTATCTGAGAATCCCTGTTTCAGAATAAGGAACAGACTCCCTCACTACCTAAGTTACATACAAGGAGCAAGGAAGCAGCATCTCTGGTCAGTACCAGGTACTGTGGAAAGAAAACTCTCCCGGGGGAAGGTAATAAGGGACAGTTTTTTCTGCTCTCATAGCTGGCCCTTCTGTGAACTGCCAGGACTCCCCGTGGGAGGATTTGGTGAATGGGGTTAAAGAGGTGATTTTTGCTGGTAAACCCAAGCCCCAGGGACCCAGCCATGACAAGCTTCTCTCCCACAGGGACCTGTGAGGAAAAAGGTGGAAACCCTTTTCCCACTGGAGCCCTGTGTTTTTGTCAAAGGCCTCTTATGTTCTCATCAGTAAGGAAGAGGCCCACCGGGGCATCAGACCCTTGCAGTTTCAGCGTGTCTGGCCAAGGTGATGCACTGGCCAGCAGCTCAGATTGAATTTAGTCACGGCATACAGTATAGTGCTTTGACTTCCTGCCTCCCTAAAAGTTGAGTGCCAAGACCACACACCGGATGCTTCTGTACTGTTTATCCACTTAAACACTCTGCTCCCATAACACACTCAGGTTCCTGTGGTGTGGACTGCGGTTCTCAGGACGTTGAGAAACACAGCCCTTTGGTGTATCCTGCGCCTCTCCTTCCCAAGATGGGCTGTTCCTTTGCCTTTCCTTATGCCCTGTAAGGCCTCATGGAGTGGCTGCTGCCTCCGATTCCTGTTTTTGTGCCTGTTGGATGCAACTGTTGCCTATTTCTGGGAAAGATTTTTCAGAGCCTGCTCAGGCCTCTCTGAGAGCTGTTTGCTACCAGCATTTTGTCTTTAGCTTTTACACGTGATTGTGCTGTCATTCTGTGTTAAGCTAATGGATCAATAGACTTGTTTATAATGTGATTTTTCTATTAAATCCAGTATTTTTAAAAAAAGTGTCATTCATGGATCTCCATCTTGAGTTCAGAAGGCTGTTCTTTGAAGTTTTGATTCCAAATTTTAGCTATTTTGGAAGTAGCAGGTCAGAAAGCTTCACACTTAGTCTTCACAAGAGTTTACAGCAAGGTCACAAATGTAGCAGTAGTCACTGTCACTGCATCTGTTCTTCAATTTTAAGTGGGAGAAAGAGTTTATAAAAATGAAGCACCCATGTGACAAGGGAATGAACAGGTGAGCGGTAAATTGTGTTTATTTGAGATCTAAACAGAGATAAAGCTGTTTTAAAAAAGAATAAGGCAACCGAATGTGATGGTGAACACTTGTAATCCCGGCACTTGGAAGGCTGAGGCAGAAGGATCACCGGGAATTTGAGGCCAGCCTGAACTATATAGTGAGACTGTCTCAAAAAAAAAAAAGGGCAGGGGCTAGAGAGCGCGCTCAGTGGTGGTGTGCTTTCCTAGCATTTGTGAGACCCTGGGTTGGATCCCCAGCACCATAATCATAACTGTGAGGTATGGAAAAAATGTCTTTTCAGTTTTAATTGTAGTAATGAAATGGAATGTCTCATGTCTATATAACCTGTTGCAGAGGTACAAGAAAGTGGAAGAAGGGATTTAATTTTTATCATTTTATGGAAGTATAATTTACATACCAACAAAATCCACCCATTGTAAATACAGTGATTTTTAATTTTATGGAGTTGTATAATAAGTCACCACAATCTATTTCTATCATTCCAAAAAGTTCCCTGTTTTATCCCCAGTCCCAGGTGACTACTGATTTGCTTTGTGTCTAAAGATGTACTTTTTCTGTGTGTGTGCGTGCACGTGCACATGCTCGGCATTGAACTCGGGGCCTTGCACGTGCTAAGCACACATTTTACCACTGAGCTCTATGCCCAGCCTCTACTGGACATTTCACACAAATGGAATTACATGATTATCTTTTGTGTCTGGCTTCTTTCACCATGCACGGCATTCTTTTTTCTTACAGTGCTGGAGATGAACCAGGGTCTTGCACTTGCTAGGGAGGTACTGTATCAGACCTGTGTCCACACCCCAAGCATGTTTTTCAGTTTCATCTTCAAACATGTAGTAGTGATCTGTTGCTTACTGCTGATTAGTATTCCGTTCTGTCCCTATAGCACAGTTTGTCCAGTCAAGATGTTTAAGTTTTGGGGCCAGGGATTTAGCTCAGTGGTTCCGGCACTCGCAGTGCAAGGACCTGAGTTCGATCCCCGGTACCAAAAAAAAAAAGATGTTTAAGTTTTAAGTAGACACATTACAAAAGAAAATACATGAGAATGTGTGTGTGTACCCCTGGTCAGTGAGGACCTCTGGAACTACTCAGGATGGCTTGGAGAGGAGCTATTGATATTTTAGGGCAGGGATCTTGGTGGGCCTAGAATATCTTTTTGCCAGAAAATATGGGCACTTCCAAAAATGTCTGAAGCAGTATAGAGAGGACAAAGCCTGTTAAATGGGGTTCCCACTGACAAGGTCATGAAGATCTGATGCAAGAGGAATTATTAACTATAGCTAATAGGGATAAATTGAATCTATAAAACGGCAAGAAGTCTCATACTCAGGGAAAAAAATTATTAACTATACATAGAGTTGCATTTCAGGAAGAGCAGATAAAATGTGTTTAAAGTTTCATTACATTTAGTAAGTAGCAATGTAGACATAATCTGGTGTTGCAGGAACACGTACCTGTAACCTCAGCTAGTTGGAGGCCAGCTGGGCAACTTAGTGTGAACTTGTCTCAAAATAAAAGATAAAACTTAATGTAGCTCAGTGCTCCCTGGGACCAAACTCCTGTAACGGCTGTACTGGGCGGGAGGGCACAAATAGGTGTCACCTACCTTCTATTAAGTGTATCTGCTCATAGCCTAGAGATAGATACAAGACCCTGGCCTACTCTTGCCCTTCTGGCTTTCTACTTCCTTAGGTCTCTATTCAAACACCATTTATCAGAGATCTCCCCTGACCCTCCAGTGTAAAGCAGCACTCCCTAACTCCGTGCCCTGCTCTGTGTCCTCAGAACCACTGACCATCTCAGGTATTCTGTTTGCCACTAAACATATGCTCCATGAAGGCAGGCTTTGTTAACTACTGCTCTGTCTAGACCTAACACTGCCCTAGACAGCACCACTGTTTGCTGCACTTCAGCCTGACAGCCTCTTGCTGTGCCTGTACTTGACCATGTGGTTTAGATGTCTTTGCAACTAGTTGGACAGGGTTTGAGATGATGGCTGGAAAAGTCTTTGAATGCAGTGAGCTGAGCTTGATGGGAGATTCTGGTCAAAGCCCATCAGACCAGAATGCTCATAGAAACGCAGATGGTAAAGACCAGGCTCAGGAGATATCAGTTGAGAACAAAGACCCCCACTGGCACTTGGACTGCAGGCCATGTGTGTTATGCTCTGGCAGGATATGTCTATATTTGTTCATGTCCTAAGACTGTGGGACTGAGATTAAGGGCAATGGAGGAATTAGTCTGGCAGAGGAAATTTCAAGGAGGCCTAATGCAGAGGTGACGATAGCCAGCTCTTTGTTGAAAATCAGGATCAAACAGCACAGCTGAGTAATTTAAAAGTTTTGAGTTTTACTAGAAAGGAAGCTCCTGTAAAGCTGGGAGACTGTGTCAGAGAAGAGCCTTCTAGAAATTGATTCCCAGGGATGTGGGACTCAGTTCAGTGCTCAGACACTCAGAGGCCCCAGGAGCCATGATGCAAAAGAGCCAGACTACTGCTGGAGCTGGAGGCAGACACTGATGTCATCCATGTAGTTTTAAAGATATACGGAATGGAAGCTTTGTGAGGTCAGGAGGGCTTCTGCCCAGATTTCAGAAGGCTGAGGAGGCCAAGGAGTGTGCCCCTGAGAGGGCAGTGTGTAAAGCTGTGAGAGTAAAGCCAGAAGTGCAGTGGAGACCACAGGAAGTTGGCAAGCCAGGAACATAGAACATCTGAGGAAGCCACAAAGAGTGAGCAAAGCCTGCCCAAGAGAAAAGCCATGAGGGCTACAACCACTGGCAATGCTGTAGGGGCGAGGCCATGCAAGCCCTTGGAAGTTCACATCTCACTACAGCTTGCCCCAGGTCCTCCTGTACACGGAGCTACAGGATTATTTGCCCTGCTGGGTTTAGGTCTTGCTTTAGTTTCATTGGTTTCTGTCCCCCTATTCTTCCCTTTTTGAGTGGGAATGTGTACCCTGTGCCTTTGTATGTCAGCAAGGTTTAACTTTCTTTTGATTTTTACAGGGGCTCATTGTTAAGAGTATGCCTGAAGTTTCAGAGGAGACTGGACTTGGGACTTTTCAGCAATGCTGAAACTGTTAGGACTTTGGCAACTCTAAAAGATGGACTAAATACCTTTTGCATAAAAGGATGCACATGAGTTTTTAGGGGGCCAGGAGCAGAAATATTATGGTTTATATCTAGATGTCCCCTCAAAGCCTCATGCATTCATGGGTGGGGCTTTGGGGGGGCGGCAATTGGATCCTGGGGCATTATACCTAATGATGTTCGGAGGAGGAGGTGGAGCCTGGTTGGGGAGGTAGAGGCCGGATGGAGATGTGTTACTGGACGAGTGGCCTAGAAGGACATAGCTCCCTCCCATTCCTCTCTTCATTCTGCTTCCCCAATGCTATAACATAAGCAATATCTCCTCCGCCGTGCCTGTGTGCCGTGAGGTCCTGCCTTGAAGCCAACGGTCTGAAACTTCTACAAACTTTGAGCCAAAATAAACCTCTCCTCCTTTAAGTTGTGGGTATCAGGTATTGCATCTCAGTGATGAGAAAGTGACTAAGACACATTCCTTTTTCCAAACTTCAAATTCCAATTTGGGCAGTTTTTATCGACACTTCCTCAAGGTCAATGATTCCTTCCTAGATGATGACTCACTTGGGTCCTTGTGGTTTCGAGGCAGGCGCCAGAACCACTGAGCTAAATCCCCGGCCCGACTTCCAGTACTTTTTAAAATTCTTAACATTTCAGCTTTTTTTTTTTGGTACCAGGGATGGAACTCAGGTCCTTGTGCTTGCGAGGCAAGTGGCAGAACCCCTGAGCTAAATCCCCGGCCCCATTTCAACTTTTTACTAACAGTAACTGACTGTTCCTTGTTTTGTTTTTTGAGTCAAGGTTTTGCTGTTGTTCAGGCTGGCCTTGAACTCCTGACGATCTTCCTGCCTCAGCCTTCCAAGCACTAGAAATACAGGAGTGTGGCCACCATGATTTTTTTTTTTTTTTTTTTGAGACAAGTTCTCGCCATGTAGCTTAGACTGGCCTTAAACTCACTATGTAGTCCAGACTGGCCATGAACTCATGGCAGTCCTCCTGCCTCAGCCTCCGAAGTGTTGGGATTACAGGCATGCACCACCATGCCATTCTTGCATGTTGTTCATGTGTTCCATTAAAGACCTTAGCACATTACAGTTATTAAGTTCTTGGTCCAGTATACCACTCCGAGAACCATGCTGTACCTGAGTCTGGTTCTGATGCTTTGTCTACACTTTGCTCCCTTGTCGTGTTTTTTTTTTAACTGGAAACAGTTGGGGGGGGGATTTAGCTCAGTGGTTCTGGCGCCTGCCTCATAAGCACAAGGTCCCCAACCGAGTTTGATCCCTGGTACCAAAAAACAAAAACATAAACTGGAAACAGTTGTATTGGGTAATAGGAACTGAAGTAAATAGGCCTTTAGTGGGAGGTTGTTTATCTGACTGTTTGCTACAGCTATAGGTATCTCAGGGCCTTCAATTTCCCTGTTTCCTTCTTTTTGTTTTCTCTGTTGTCATTAGGTTTCCCTAGACACTTCTTAAAATCTTGCAGCTCTCTCCATTGTAATCCACTGTTATTTTGGAGCCCTATGATTGAAACAGCATTCTACTAAATCTGGTGCCACTCCCCCCAGTAGCTTCTTTTCCCTCCTCTTACTCGATACAGCAAAGCCAGAGGAGGCTTGAGCCATCTCACTGCCCTTCCTCTACCACTGAGAAGG